GGAGACAGTACGGTGCTGCACAGATTACGACTACGGTACATGAATGAGCTGGTTACACTGCTATTCACTTTTATGTTCGTTATCTAAAGAAAATGTGTGGTCTGCTATGCATGCACGTCTGTATCTATCTCTATGCATATTTCATTATTCTCCTTTTCCCCTCCCAACATTACAATATTCATCTCGTGTTCATGATTAGGGTTTCCCATTACTCTTATTTGCACATACTATTCAATAATTACTCATGCTCTATTCTACATCTATCATAATCAAGTTCAGATGATTACCTGGTAGTGTTGATGGCCTATCCTCCATGTTTTCCTCCGTGGGTTCTCGCTCGTTGCGTTGCTGGAGTCGCTTGTCGAAACGTTGATTGTCATTGGAGTGGTGGCTGGCATTGGAGTGTGACTGCCGTGTATAATGGAGAATCCTACTCTAATTATTCTTCTTTAATTTAGGCTAGATATTAGAATCGTATTTCTACCTTAATTAGTATTCCATTAAATTTTCTTAATTGCCCTTTTAATATCTATTCATGATCCTGGTTTAAGTTTTTCCACTTACATCTCATCCATTAATCTAATCTAATCTAATGGCCCATATTTATCCATAGGTTTGGATTTTAAGGGGGTTTGCATGTGAATGCAACCCTATTTTAAGGTGCGTGGTTTGTGTGCTTAAGGTGCGTCAACTAAAGCTTTAGGTGCGTTGTTTTCCTTATTAAGGTGCGTGATTTGTATAATCATGATCAAATGTGAACTAGGTTTCTTGTGATAAGTATGAACTAATTTGATCCATCCATATATGGTAAATATGTGTAAGTTAGTTCATATGTGCTTTGTCTTCGAGTGCACATTTTTCCTCTTCAAGGCACAAATTCCTTCTTCGAGTGCATATTTTTCCTTCTTCAAATGCATATGTTTTGTCTGATTGCATAGTTTTCCCTTATCTTACTACTTTTAAGTAAACCATTTTGGCCTTCAAGTGCACATTTCTTTGCGTTCATGTACACATTTTTGTGCTTTCAAGTGCATATTTATGGGCATTCAAGTATATATTTATGGGTCAATGTTTATTATGTGTTTTGCCTTCTTTCCAATAACGTATAAGTAAACTTCTAATGTAATTTGTGAGATTTACAAACAATTTGTATGACTAATTACTTCAATAACACTTAAATTGAATAACTTCCATTATTGGTACCATAAATAGCAAGTGTAGACTTTTGGCCTTCAAGTTCATATTTTTGTGCTTTCAAGTGCACAATTATAGACCGGTATTTGATATATCTTTTGCATTCTTTTCAACAATGTATAACTAAAAATGTAATATTAATATATATATATATATATATATATATATATATATATATATATATATATATATATATATATATATATATATAGGGACGCACTCAGGTGCGAATAAGTGTCCAGGAAGGAAATGCGAACGAATCAGCGCGTGACACGTGTCCAGATCTAATAACTTAAAAAAAACGCGGTGGCATTTTCGTAAATAATTGAACATCGAAGTGCAAGTAAAATCTCTTATAAGTGCACCTATTTTCACCTATAAGTGCATGTAATTTTGCCTTGTTAGCATTCATTTTCCGCAACCATTCATGCACCTGGGTGTGCTTATAACTATATGTGCAACTATTTATAGCTATAGGTGCAACTACTTATAACTATATGTGCACCTACTTTCACCTATAAGTGCATGTAATTTTGTCTTGTTAACATTCATTGATCTGAGTTCAGCGGGTAGTAATACTCCTGAAAACCACTCGCAAACATTCATACACCTAGATGCAACTATTTATACCTATGTGTGCAACTACTTAGAACTATAGGTGGAACTACTTAGAACTATAAGTGCAACTAAGTATTGATGCTCAGTGTAAATTTTTACTTGCACCTATAATACATTTTACATGCACTAGTAATACATTTTACTTGCACTTCGATTTTCAATTATTTACGAAAATGCCACCGCGTTTTTTTAAAAAATCAGTGTTTCTCATCCATTAGATTTGGACACGTGGACGAACAGAATCCATTCCTATTTCGCGCCTGGGCGAGCCGTTCGCACCCGAGTGCAACTCTATATATATATATATATATATATATATATATATATATATATATATATATATATATATATATATATATATATATATATATATATATATATATATATATACTTGATATATTGCTAGGAATCACGCAAAGAACTATTATTTGCAATACAAATTTGAAACTGCGAACAACAACAAGGTGCTACTGTTTGCAATTCTAAATTTTTGTTGCGAACAGTAGTTCGCTATTCATAGTAACCTGTTATTAAAAAAAAGGAAAAATATATATTACGAATATAAACATAAAAAAGAATATATAAAAATCAAAATATATAAGTATTTATATGAATACTATGAAACATATACTAAAATTTGCTTTGTTCATGTATTTAGGGAGAATAAGAGAAAGTTAGGGATAAAAAATTCAATAAAAAATAAATATAAATATAAACAAGCAATAATGAAGTAAAAATAATATTATTTTGAATTTTTAGAGGAAAATTGTAAAGTTTATTGGGAGAGAGAAAAATTGGTAGAGTTTAGGTATGAGGAAAATATAGGATAATGAAGAAAAAAATAATTTTATTACATTTAGATAGGTTTGTAAAGTATAAATAGAAAAAAGAAATAGAGTTTAAATAGAGAGAGAAAACATTCAAAGGTGTTAGAAAGAAAATTTTGAAATCTTGGGGTTGATGGTTGGATTTCAACTATTTATATTTGAGAAGGAAAAGTCTACAAAAGTCCTAAAATTTAAAAAGTCTATAAAAGTTCATAACTTTTTGAATACCACATGACTTTTAAAGACTCTCTAAAAGTCTTAATCGAATACCACATGACTTTTAAAGACTCTTTAAAAATCATGATTGAATACCGCCTGACTTTTAAAGACTCTCTAAAAGTTTGAATTGAATATCTCCAAACTTTTAAAGTTCATAAAAATCTTTACAACTCTATGAAAGTCATGATTGAATACACCCCGCTAACTTTTCATTATCAAATTTTACGCTTCAAAACATTCATAAATATTCATATGCATTTGATTTTGATTTTTTTTCACATATATTTATAAAAATTCATTGCAAAAATTTTATTATTGTTGCAAACAACAATTAGGTTTTGCGTACCATCTCAGGTAGGAACATTTTGTCTTATACTAGTTGATTTACCTTATTAGACTCATCTAATATTTATTGAGTTCATATTTTTAGTTAGAATATATATACATACTAGTTTGGTCACTTGGACACTTACACTAACTTAACATTTTGAATTTATACGGCGTTTGACAATCAAGATCAATTTTTTTTTTTTTTGAGAATTTAAGAGGTGAATAAATAATTCTCATGTGTAATCTTTGACTCAATAAAATTTGAATCAACTAGTCAACTAAAAATCTAATTGCATGATATTAAGGAAAGTAAATCAATTCTCTCCTCCTATTATAAAGAATAACGGCCTATTTATCGAAAGAATTTACAAAAAAAATTATTTTATTTGTTATATGTTTCATCATGTGTATTTATATACAATTACTAGTATTTTCACCTGTGCGATGCACGGAATGAATTTGTTATAATATTTTAAGAATATTTAGATCGATATACAATTATATAAATTATAACATCGAATATATATAGTGCAATTGAAGAATTGAGTTGTATCGACTGTAGTTTTTAATGTTATCATTGCTTAAATTCGAGCAAATAATTGTCCAATTAATAACCAATGCGTAGATGTACACATCCGGTGCTGAAAATTTAGAGATTTTATATATCAGTATTTATGATTTGTATTAAGTGGCAAAATTGCTCGTTGTCTAGCAACTCAGTTATATAAATCATTTGCTATCTTAATTTATTTGTATGAAGATATAATTTCTGTGTAGATATATACCAAAACCAGGGACAAATGCCTGTAAAATGTCAACCATCAAACATAGGAACAATGTTTAACGCCCAAAGGCATAAATGGCTAGATTCTTTGAGCAAGCAAATCGTTTTGTAAGTCATTAAGGGAGAAATGCTCCTCTTATATAGAGGATCTCTTTGAGTTCATCTTCATTCAATAACGATATTGGATCAAAGTTGATTCCACATCAGTTATTTCTTCTTTTTTTATGTTTGTTTATTTTGATTTGTATTATTATTATTATTATTATTCTTATTCTTATTATTATTCATTTTGTTATTATTGCTATTGTTATTATTTTTTTTTTGAAAGCTATTGTTGTTATTATTAGTATTATTATAAATTTTATTTTATTATTGCATAATAATAATAATAATAACAATAATAATAATAATAATAATAATAATAATAATTATTATTATTATTATTATTATTATTATTATTATTATTAGTGTCCTTATATGTCTTTTTACATTTAACCGCTTGGTAGGATATATCCCGACCGACATAGCTCGGTTCCTCTTGTTTTAGTGCAGGTTTTACAGGTCGGGTATTCTTAAAGGAAGACGGTCGGACCCGGCCGATAGACTTCCCGACCAGGGTCTTTTTCACCCGCTTAGTGGCCTTTATCATACAAAGAGGCACGTGGCAACGCTACATGTTGACAGAGAAGGCTCGCGGGGTGGAGACGCGTGGCCGCTACGTGAGTCACATGTCGGCCGGCCGGAGAAGCGGCTATATATACCCACGACGGCTACAGTGGTGGGGACTTTTGAACGATCGATAGATTATCTACAGAGCTGCCCGACCGCAGTCAGTCGGCACTCGGGATAATCACTCAGATTGTATTAGGTCCTTCTTGATCAATAAAAGACTCCTATTTGTTATTATTTGATCTCATTTAGTACCTTGACCGTTTAACACGTGGAATTAGTACTATCATTTTCGCGTCGTCTATGGGAAACCGAGACGAAAAGGCTATTGTAGACGCGTCCGGATCCCGATCAACATCATGTATCCATTTGTGTACCAAGCACTAGAGGATGAGCAAGCAGACACAGCAAGTTCATCCGACCACCAGCGTACACAATATCAAGGTCAAACAGTTGACCTGAACCTCAATCTATCACCACCTCATTCGGCGACCCAGAACCCAGTCAATTACATTCAACCGGTATATTCCCCGTCCGGTCCGCAGTATCCATTTCCCGGTCAATATCCATACCCGATCCCTCTTCCTCAGTATGGGTGTTGGCCCGGAACGCCGATGTATTACCCACCACCGGCCGAATATCCACAATATATGCCTGCGTACACGGCTCCAGCTTCCGCTCCTCCGATTTACCCGACCATGCCGACCGAGCCGGAGCTTCAGCCCGCTCTCCGGGCTAGGCACTCGGCTCGTTCGAGGTTGGGGTCGCAGGGTGCCGAGGCTTTGGAGGAACCACGGCAGGCTCAACATGTTCAGCCGGAAACACACGCTCAGGTGGCTGAAGACCCTGAGATAGAAGCCAACTGGGCGATGGCATTCGAGCGACTCTGACCAGCAATGCGGCAAAGATTGGGACCCCAGGACCCAAACAGATGCTTGGTTGATTCGCCCATGCGAGCGGCAAGCCAGGAGGGGTCATCCGGGCATAGTGGGTCTAAATCACATCGACGACGCCGGGCCTGGGAACCAGCCTAAACGGCCGTACAAGATGAGACCCGAGGACTGCTGAACGAACTCCGGGCAGAATTCACTCACTGGCAAAACGAGCATGTTGTGAGGCCTCCCACCGATCATTCAGCCTCTCTGTTGAGGACACCCTTCACGGCGGAGATTATGGCTCAGCCTTACCCGCTCGATTTGCGCATCCCCGAAAACAAGGAATATGACGGGCGGACAGACCCAGAAGTTCATGTCAACACCTACTATGGCAATATGATGATGATGGGCGTGACTGATGTCGTGATGTGCCGAGCCTTCTACTCAACGCTTTCCGATCGAGCGGCCGAGTGGTTCAGAACCTTACAACCGGGATCCATTTCTGATTTTGCCACTTTGGCGGCCAAATTCATGCGGAAGTTGTCACTTTCAAAGTCATTCGGAAGCCCTACATGTACCTCGAGAAGGCCATGCAATTGGAGGGAGAAAGCTTGACTGAATTTTTAGTCAAGTGGAAGGCGGCGGTCGGAGAGGTCGAGCCGATGGACGACCTGACGGCCATTCATATGCTGCACATTTCTTTACGAGCTGGTTATCTGTACCAGGACTTTATACTCCACCCTCCAACCACTTATGAAGAAGCCCTCCGTAGAGTGACGGATTATGCTAACGCTGGTTAGGCAAATGCCGTCAAAAGGTCACAAGAGGTCGGGACATCATCCCTGAAGCCTTCCGGTCGGACGGATCATCGGCCGGTTGAAGATCATCCCCGACCCCGAACCCGACCGGGAGAGTTTACGGCGTTAAACCGATCTGCAGCGGAAGCCATGCAATACGCCCAGTCCTGCAACCTTATCCGTTTACCTCAGTCGGGGCCAGATGGGCCAAATAAAATGAAACATTGTGCGTACCATCGATGTGCAGGGCATGACAAGGAGGAATACACGCATTTAAAGCAGCTGTTGGAAGATTTGCTTCACTTGGGAAAGTTGGACAAATGTGTCGGGAAGAGAGAAGAAAACAAAAGAGTGGGCGAGAAAAAAGATCAAAGGCGATCTCATCATCGCTCTGATCGGAGAGATCAAGATCGGCGGGATCCTGATCCTCCATCTAGTGGCCGACCGGCATCCAAACCGACTATCCACGTTATATTCGGAAGTTTGGAAGATGCTTCCCGACCTCGGGAAAGTTGCCCGGTCGCGATCGTCGACTCCCGGGAAACCGGTAAGAGGCAAAGGATGGAGCCCATCACCTTCACTCTAGAAGACCAGCCGGAAAGCGGTGATCATGGGATGGAAGCCTTAGTTGTCACGATTGACATCATGGGAACCGATGTTCAGAGAGTAATGGTGGACACCGGGAGCAGCGTGAACGCCCTTTATTTGAACGGGTTCGAGAAGTTAAAATTGGACAAGCGAGAGTTGATTCCGGTCGGCGTGCCCTTGTCAGGATTTACCGGGGCCACCATACGTCCCAAGGGAAAGATCGTGCTCCCGGTTGAGATCGGCACCCCACCAAAGTCAGTGAAAACGGAGCTTGAATTTGTTGTGGTCAACCTCCATTGTGTCCATAACGTCATCTTGGGCCGACCGGCCATTATGAGGGTCGGCGGAATCATATCGATGCCTCACTTGTGCATGAAATTCCTCACCCCCGCCGGGGTCGGAGTTGTGCGAGGCGATGTCCAGTCGGCGAGAAAATGCTATTCTCGGGCAGTCAATCGGCGTGATGCTGGTTCTTCCCGAGTGAACACCATTATCAAGGAAGCTGTTGGAGATCGGAAGGAGCAACCCGAGCCCTCTGAAGAAATAGAGGAGGTTCCTTTATCTGAAGAACGACCGGAGAGAAAGATAAAGATTGGGCGGGCCCTCACCCCCGAGTTACAATTGGAAGTGTTAGCGATCCTTCGGGAATTCGCTGACATATTTGCATGGGGGCTTGAAGACATGCCCGGGATTGATCGGATGGTAATCTGTCACGAGTTAGCTGTAGATCCCGCGGCGAAACCGGTCGTTCAGAAGACTCGGCATCTATGATCCGATCGCCGAGAGGAGGTGAAGAAGATGGCGGCCATTGGGCATATCCGCCTGATCACTTACCCTGAATGGGTGGCCAATATTGTGCTCGTGCCAAAGCCCCCATCCTGGAGAATGTGTATAGACTTCACCGACCTGAACAAGGCATGTCCGCTAGATCCTTACCCGTTGCCGAGCATCCATCAGATGGTTGATGAGACGGTCGGGGCCGAGCTGATGAGCTTCATGGACGCATTCAAAGGGTATCATCAAATCATGATGAACCATGAAGACGAAAGTAAGACGGCATTTGTCACACCCGATGGATTATACTATTACCGGGTCATGCTGTTAGGCCTCCGAAACGCAGGAGCGACATATCAAAGGATGATTAATATGCTCTTTGAAGACTTGCTAGGCCGAACGATGGAAGCTTACATTGATGATATGCTGGTGAAGAGTCGGGACCGAGCGGACCACACTCGGGATCTCCGACAGTGCTTTCAAATTATGCGGAAGTACCAACTATGCTTGAACCCCAACAAGTGCACGTTTGCTGTGCAAACAAGAAAATTCCTCGGTTATATGATGACGAAGAGAGGAATCGAGCCCAACGTCGCCAAGGTCAAAGCCATTCTTGATATGCAACCACCCACGACCGTTCGGGAGGTACAGCAATTAACCAGGAGGTTGGCGGCCTTGAGCCGATTTCTTTCAAAGTTGGCCAAGCGCGCTCTACCGTGTTTTAAGGTATTGCGTAAAGTTAATGGGTTCGTATGGGATGAGGAGTGCCGAGCGGCTTTTGATGAGCTCAAAGACTATTTAATGTCACCGATCGTTTTGTCAAAGCCAGAGCTTGGGGAAGAGCTAGACGTTTATTTGGCCGTTTCGGATCGAGCTATAAGTGCAGTTTTATGCCGAACAGATTTGGAGGGGGTGCAGCGACCGGTTTACTATGTGAGCCACACGCTCTATGGTCCCGAGCTCCGGTACTCCCGGCTGGAAAAGATAGTCTACGCTCTGTACACAGCAGCAGAGAAATTGGTCCCTTATTTTCAGGATCGAGCGATCCGTGTGTTAACTGATCAACCAATCAACCAATCGGGGCGGTTCTCCGCACCGCTTCTTCCTCCGGCCGCTTGGTCAAATGGGCGCTGATGTTGACACAATATGCAATTGAGTACCGACCGAGACCAGCTATCAAGGGCCAAGCTTTGGCGGATTTTTTGGTCGAGTACACCGCTCAAGAGACACGACCTCCGGAGGTTGAGGATCCTGAGGCTGTGTTGTGGTCGTTCGCCACCGACGGGTCAAGTAGCAAGAAAGGGGTAGGATATATCCCGACCGACATAGCTCGGTTCCTCTTGTTTTGGTGCAGGTTTACAGGTCGGGTATTCTTAAAGGAAGACGGTTGGACCCGACCGATAGACTTCCCGACCAGGGTCTTTTTCACCCGCTTAGTGGCCTTTATCTTACAAAGAGGCACGTGGCAACGCTACATGTTGACAGAGAGGGCTCGCAGGGTGGAGACGCGTGGCCACTACGTGGGTCACATGCCGGCCGGCCGGAGCTGTGTCTCCGGCCTAGCGGCTATAAATACCCAGGACGGCTACAATGGTGGGGACTTTTGAACGATCGATAGATTATCTACAGAGCTGCCCGACCGCAGTCAGTCGGCCCTCGGGTTAATCACTTAGATTGTATTAAGTCCTTCTTGATCAATAAAAGACTCCTGTTTGTTATTATTTGATCTCATTTAGTACCTTGATCGCTTAACACATGGAATTAGTACTATCAATTCAACCTGGCCAACAATAAAGCCGAGTATGAAGCGTTTGTTAATGGCTTGCAATATACTCGGGAACTGGGGGCTTAATATATACGGGCTCAAACTGACTCTGCGTTAGTCGTCGGGCAAGTGTTGGGTGATTATGAAGTTAACGGAGAACTGTTACAACCCTACCGAGATCTCGCCATGGAGAAGCTTTCTTTGTTTCGGGCGTACACCGTCCGTCACATTCCCCGACTAGACAATGCCGATGCAGACATCTTATCCAAGTTGGCACAAGATGCTCCTGAACACATGTCAAAGATCGCTCGGATTTTGATGATTCTGAGACAAAGCATTCACCGTTTGCCGGTTGCACCTATCCAACCGGCCGAAGAAACTTGGATTTCTGATCTAATGGAGTATCTTCAACACGGTCGGTTACCAGACGACCCTCAGCGGGCCCGGAAGGCGAAGTTAAGAGCACCAAGATTTCAGGTTCAAGAGGGTCGTTTATATAGACGGTCATATGGAGGTCCGTTGATGCGATGTTTGACTGCCTTTGAAGCAGACTTAGTGATGAACGAATTGCATTCGAGTATCTGTTCGTCGCACCAATGGCGCCGGTCACTTGCCCGACGCATCATGGTGATCAGATACTATTGGCCCTCTATTCAGTTGGATTGCGAAAATCTTGCCAGAGGGTGTGAGACATGCCAGTTATACACCCGGATGCCTGGACGACCGGCAACATTCTATCAGCCGGTCACGACCGCGATTCCTTTTGCTCGTTGGGGGGTGGACATCTTGGGACCCTTTCCGCAGCTATCCGGTCGAAGGCGCTTTGTCATCGTGGTGATTGATTACTTCTCCAAGTGGATCGAGGCCGAGCCTTTAGCCACGATCACTTCTCAACAATGCGCCCGGTTTCTATGGAGGAATGTTATTTCCTATTTCGGCGTGCCCGTTCATCTGATCAGTGACAACGGTCGGTAGTTCGTAAGCCAATATTTTCAAAATTTCTTGGCAACGATCGGAACAACCCCAATCCGATCGTCGGTGGCTTACCAGCAAGGCAATGGACAAGTCGAGAATGCCAACCGGACTATCTT